TAGACGTGACTTTATAAAACTAAAAATATCAAATGGTTTTTAACAGTGGGCAGCACGGTGGCGCAACTGGTAGAGGTGCTGCCTCTCAGCGAGCAGGTCCTTGGTTCAAACCCCAGTCCAGGGGCCATTCTGGGTGGAGTTTGCATGTTCTCTCCGTGCATGCGTGGGTTTTCTCCGGGTACTCCGGTTTCCTCCCACAGACCAAAAACATGCATGTTAGGCTGATTGGTAACTCTAAATTGTCTCTAGGTGTGAGTGGGAGAGTGAATGTTTGTTTGTCTCGTTTGTCTCTATGTGTCCCTGTGATGGACTTGCGACCTGTCCAGGGTGTACCCCGCCCCTCACACAGTGATTGCTGGACATGGGCACCAGCGACCCCCGTGACCCAAAATGGAATAAGCGAGTAAAGATAATGGATGGATGGATGGATGTGTTTATTTCAGGAAACTCAAGCTTAAACTTAATAAACAATTTGAAGTAAAATTTTGAAATTAAACCAATTTCACATCATAATTAGGTGTTTTATAACTTTAGTGAAAACCTCTTTTGAAATATTTTTTACATTTTACTTTCTGTAACTGTTCTATAACGTCAAAGTCCATGCTCAATGTGTTCTATAATGTGTTTACACAGATCCTCCACCAGAGAGCGGAAGACAGAAAGAAATATCACATATAACACGTGGCTTTATCACTTCTATTCACTTTTAGTTTTTAATCATCGTTCACTCTTTTTTTGTGTGCTATCTCATACTGAGAATTTAAAATATGTTTCCATGATTTTAATCTTTTAGCTGCAGTCATTACTGCCACAATTGAGGGGATGGTGTCTACATGTGTTGGTAAAATGCAGCATAGTGTCAAGTTGTGCAGGATGCTTACCTGAGTGAATTCCTGTAATGAAGCGACCCAAGATCACCATCTCAGGAGAACCACAAATCTTACTGAACCCCATGAGTGAGCCAGCAATAAACACCAGGACAGATGTTTTTACCACAGTGCCCTTCCTGAAAATGTAGACATGGAGTAGACAGTTATTCTATACATTCTTACTAGGTACTAAAGTAT